CTAAGTTAACTCATCTTTCCAGAGTGAATTGGACCATCTGACAGTGAGTCAAGCTCTAGGTTTTGCCTTGTGTTTAATGATTCCACACAATTTCAATGGTTTCTATGAGGGTGTCAGTTTCACTGTGTCTATCCATAGCAAACAAGGCTGCCCCACCCACAAAGTGGGGTAAAGCAACTGCCTTAGGCAAAGATTTTGCCAAAGGTGCCAGAGATGCCAGCAGAGGTGGGATGTTTGGTGGCACTTCTCGTTTTGCCTCAAGCAGTGAAAAAGGGACACACTGTCCCTGATAGCAAACACAGTTAATAAATCTTAACAAGGAAAATCATAGTATTTCTGATTGATCCATTCTATTATCCAAGCCTTGAGTATTCTCCTGAACAGCAGCAAGCAAGACCATCTGCCACTGGGGCTAGAAAGAAAAAGCAAGAAGGATGAAACCGTTTAGGCTATTAGCCTGCATTAGAAACTGGAGACATTAAACTCTAGAGTCCGTTTATTCTTTTAAACACCAAGCCTCAATACATCCCACCGCCGCCCCCCTCCACAACACCAACATGACATCAAACATGTGGAGCTCGTTACAGTAGCTGGCATGTACAGAGAAAAATATGCTAATCAAAAACACACAAACATAGATCTAGGAATGCCCAACAAATATCCTCCATGATCATCTCACCAATGATGTGCTCCAGTGCTGGCCACTGAAGTCATAGGAACGCAAGAGTTGGTGGCTGAGAAGTGATGCTGAAGGGCACTCAATGATCAAAATCAAGTGGTAAAGCTTTCCCTGGATTTATCACTGCAAGTGGGAGACTGAGTGACTAAAATGCTATCTCCTATCAAATCTCCCTGCCTGTTGAAAACTTGATAGAAAGGTTTGACCTGGACTTCTTCCTTATCAAATACCTATCACAATGGGGGGGAGATGTGTTTGTTCTTCATATAAAAACATTCATAAATGTAACCCTCCCACCTTAGTTTAAGGTGCTTCAGCCCAGGAAAACTGCTACAAGGTGAACAAACCAGATATTGCTATGGTTTGACAAGACTTGTATCTGAGGTTTCTATTACTTTAGTAAATGGCATTTAATTATGTTATCTAATGAAGAAGAAGAAGAGTTTGGATTTGATATCCCGCCTTTCACTCCCCTTCAGGAGTCTCAAAGCGGCTAACATTCTCCTTTCCCTTCCTCCCCCACAACAAACACTCTGTGAGGTGAGTGGGGCTGAGAGACTTCAAAGAAGTGTGACTGGCCCAAGGTCACCCAGCAGCTGCATGTGGAGGAGCGGAGACGCGAACCCGGTTCCCCAGATATAATGGCACCCATAATGCTGTGATAATCCAATGGTGATAGGTCTCAGATTAATATTTGGGTCCAATTGTTCGTGTGTGTATGTGTGTGCGTGTGCGCACGTGCATGCATATTATTGGTTAACAATTTTGGATGTTTTTACTCTGTTTTAATGTTTCTCTGTAACCCACTTTCATAGAATCATAGAATCATAGAGTTGGAAGAGACCACAAGGGCCATTGAGTCCAACCCCCTGCCAAGCAGGAAACTTTGAGTTCACCTTTCTGTTAAAAAAAGAGCAATTGATAAATTGATAAATAAAATAATAATAATAATAATAATAATAATAATAATAATAATAATGTTGCCCTAAATGCCTGTGAGTCCTTTAGGACCTTATGGAGAGTAAATATATTCAAACACAGCCACTGGAACAGAAGTGTTTATTCTGAAGAGAGTCTTTGTCAAACTACCATGACTCTAAATGAACAAATGACAGAAGAGCAACACAGTCTTTTCATCTTTCCAGTCAAGAAGAACTGTTTTAAATATAAGGAAGCATGAGGTCACTTTTCCTGGCAGACGAGCACACGCAGCTTCCGTTGACTTCAGTAGCAACATCATGTCCTAGGAGAAAAGCTGGGCATTGACTTCACTGGTGTCACACAGGGGACAAACCAACCCCAACCGAGCAAATTTGGTTCTTATCTACTCCATTGTGTATGTGCCAGAAAAGTACATTTGCATGATGTAATTGTGCATACCCAAACAGCTGCATGCTGGTGTTTAGCGTCCAAATCAGATATGCAGATTTCTGTTTATATATATGCAGTATTTTCACACACACAAAGTTCTCAAGCGGTACAAATAACATCCATGAACATCTGTCTCCATTGGCAAGCAAATCTATATTGGGCTCTCTTCAAAGCCAGTCAAGGTTTAACAGAGCCTGGTTTAAACTTGGTCTTCCCCGGGAATGCCTCAGAAGTGGAAGTGATTCACAAAACACTTAAGCCAGCTACTTTTAAACCCTGTTGAAATTGCATTGTAAATCTGAGCCATAAAGCAACACCCCCCTACAAAAAAAATATATTGTTGCATGCACACCTATGAATTACCGGTATATGTGGGGAGGGGAGTGTTTGCTCTGAGGTGCTTATTATTTCCAGGAAACCCCATCAGGGAGATGAAGAATTCTAAAAAGAAAAACAACCTTCAGTTATGCCATGACAGCTACTTTTAGCCACCCACTCCTTATTAAAGTCTGCTGTGCCGTTCTATGAATTTATGTAATAGGCTAAAGAACTGGGCCTTTGTATTATTCCATGGTCTATATTTGTGCAGCTGCAGAGCTTCATGGGAGTCAGTAGTAGCAATAGTTAGCAATTTTATTGCCATAGGGATTAGACACTTTATCCAGGGTCCCACCGTACTGGCGCAAAAATGTTTGGCACTCTGAGTCTTGAAAAGGTTCCTAATCTAAACTGAATGCAAGACACAACAGGTGGCTATGACAGATGGGGAGCACAGAGAAACATTGAGACACTGCTGTATAAACTGCAGACTTAGCATGCCAGCTACTTAGCTGTTCTTTTCCTAAGTGCACGCTCCTCTGCTATTGCTCTATTAGTCAAAGGAGAAGTGCCCTAGCAGTTCCCAAACATGTTCAAATCACAGCACACATTGAGCTTGCAGTCACTCTGGTAGTGCTGAACGCAATCACTTCGGTGGTGTTGGGTGATGTCTCAACAGACAGACATCTCCACACCATGCAGCTATTAATGGAACAGGACTCTGCATCACATCTACCAAAGGAACCTCACAGCGTGCCTGTTATCAGAAACAGAATTTGCTCCACATGCTTTCAAGAGAACAGAGCTATATCTTGCTTTGTTCAAGTTCAGTTTAAAAGGCGACACAAAAACTAGCTGGCTTTGGTAGGCAATGAATAGTAACAATTCAATTATAATTCTTTGGGGACGGTCATTGGTATCTCTTCGTGTATGTGTGTGTGTGTGTGAGAGAGAGAGGGAGAGCGCGTCTGGCAATTAAGTCTCTAGTCGCCTAACCCATGAGTTTGTTCTTGATGTCACATAACATCCATTTGATAGACACCTAAACGCTTCCACTGTTTACCTATCATCACACATCCAGTCTCCTCCTATTGATGCATTGCCAGTTTTCCTTGCCCTGGTAGAAGAGATGCAGTTTCCTATAACCCATTTTCACAGTGAGTTTTCTGTGTCAGCAGGAGGTTGGGCTGAACTATCTTTGGGGTTACTTAAGACTCTATAATTCTATGAGTAACTCCTATGTGGTTTTGTCTGCTCCTTTGTCGCTGACCTTTGTCCTTAATTGAGTTTCCCTACATTTGATATTCTAACCAGTCTTGGAAAGTCCAAGCAAAGGGTGAGGAATCAGTTAGAAATGAATGGGTTATGGAGGTTGCACAACTTATGATTCATCAACCTTAGAGGTGCTTAGCAAACCTTCTTTTCACAGTCCCAGGCAAACAACAAAAATATCATTGAACTTTTAGAGACCAATATACATGGCTGGTGGTCTGCATTTGACTGTGGATTCCACAACCCAGGAACCACCAATTAAAGGGCCTTGTCACATGTCAGCACCAACTGGGCAGCAATTGCAGTGCCACTCTGGACCATGTAAACTGGCAAAGCACTATTAATGCCCCTTGAGAACTGGGTCATGGAGAAGTTGATACGTAACTATCTGCAATGTGTGCCTTGTATTTCTTGGTTGTAGCACTACCTTCCACTAAAGTCTTTCTAAAACCATCCCATTTTGGTTTTGTGCTTAAGAATAAGTTCATGCATTAAATAATTGGGTGGCATTCTTTTAGGTCATACTAAAGAGTAGATCCACTGAAATCCATGGACTTATCAATGGGTATATGATTTAGGGTTGTTCTAAAGCCAATGGGGTTAAGCCTAAACCCCTAAAACCCATTTGGTTGCATATAGATGGCACCTTCCCAACCCTGCAACACAAACTGTTTGGATCGAGCAACTTGTGCCAAACTTTTTCATGACAGTCTACCTACAAATTAAGATCTTTCAAGCTATGCATAGTTACTGCCTTATTTTACTTATTTCATGTATAGACCTCCCTAAGAAGGAATGGTTCTCCACCACTGACTTTTTATTTTCACAACAACCCTGTGAGGTAGATTATACTGAATGGCTCATGGTCTCAATGGCTGACAGTCTCATGGCAAAGTGGGGATTTGAACCTGGGTCTCCCCAATCATAACACACCACTTAAAACTACACCACCACTGTTGCTCTTTCCTTCCCTTACTCTCATTTTTGGCATTGTGTGCTTTCTTGCATATAGGGCAAATAATTTTTTTATTTACGTATTTTCTTAAACGTATACCTCACTTTTCTTCCATTGTGGAGTGCAAAGCAGCACACTATGAAAATAGAGACACAGTCCTTATTGTGAAAAAAGTGGGTTGATAGTGGGATATATTCGTGAGGATCAGATGGAGAATTTTTGTCGTTTTTCATTTTGTGGTCCAGATACCACTTACCAACTAGTGCTGAGTGCCAGCACTGTATCTTCTTCAACTGCAATACCTTTTAGTATCTATTTATGGATCGTCAGCTTTGTGTGCCTCAACGTTCCCTACATTGCTTGAGAAAACAATTAAATCTTTGCAGAAAGCTGAAGTCATATTAGCTGTTTATAAATGTTTATTGAATTGTTGTAAATTGGATGCTCAGGAACTTAATGAATGTTTCATTCAGCTCAGTCCATGGGAAGTTGCTTTACCATTTTTAGATTTAAAATCAAGGTTGAGTCAACAAAAAATGATGCTCTGGGTATTTTGGACTCCACAGTGCCTTTATAGGAGGGAACTGGTTATGTTGATGCTGGCAGTGTATTGCTAAAAACACCTCTTTGAGGCACATGATGTGGGCATGTCCTGTGGTGTCAGCTTTCTGGTCAGAAATTATTGTTTGTGTGAGCTATGTTTTGGAGAAATCATTTATATTTTTGCAGTTGTTCACACACTCTTAAATTATCTTCCTGTGATGTGGGAACTAACAGATAGACAATAAATGTAGAACCTGCAAGGAAGGACAAGAACTCAGCATCCACTACTCAGTAGTCTGAAGATCTCACACTGCCCTTTCCTAATTGCTGATCTTTGTTGAAATACCTACTGCACATATTATTCCATATGCTGGTTAGGATTGATGGAGTACGGTTATTGTTAATGTCAGTTAGTGGTGTTTTTACATCTTTCTTCCAGCTATATTAGCAAAATAAAAAGACCTGTGTGTGCTTAGCTTCAGCAAGGTGGTGGCCATGTGTGCCTTCAAAGGAAACCCTGGGCCAGGGTTAATTTTTAATTAAAAACTTGAAAAAGCAGGGCTCAGGTGAGACCTAGTCACACAAGCAGCTGTCACGTTGATCTGGAACCATGTGGCAATTGCTTCATTCAATTTCATGACATCACAAACCCCTCCTCCCCTCAAAGGGGTTGCAGTCGTGGTGTGGTGTGTGCATGGTGCAAGACATTACAAAGTGCTCAGTACCCAACCCTAGTGCAAGCGTCCCAAAACACTGCCGTTTCTGCAGATGTCTTTCTTCAAAATAAGTTGACAGGGCTTGCTTGCAATTTCTGCTGGAAATCTTGCTGCCATTCTCCCAGACTTTAGCTGTGCCTGGCATGCATTTTGCCTTCTTCAAGCGTAACTAATTGGGGATGTCCCCTCACCTCTTTATTTCTCCCACCGCTCCCCCCCCCCAAGTCCAGCTTTCCACAAGGGATGACACTGTAGCTTTAACAATGGCACCGAGGTCTAAAGACTTCCTTCCAAACTTGGCGTTTGGACTTTTGCAGAAGCGACGGGACCGGTGGTTGTAATTTGAGAGGGAGGGGGAAAGAGAGAGAGAGAGAGATCCTACGGCCAAAAGCCAAGATCCCGCGTTACCACCACCAATCCAGATGCAGCAGCAAAAGGGTAGCAAACCAAGCGGCTTCAGGCAGGTCTAGCTAGAATCTCTCTCTCTCTGCTTTTGCTCGCACGTTTCTTTACTTGGAAGGCAGAGTGGAGGGAGGAGGAAAAACGTGCTGGAGGTGCATGGGGAACTTGGAGGGAAAGATATAAAAAGCAACTCCTCCCTAGGGCTCGCTCGCTCTCTCCCCGCGCACACAGCTCCCCACCTACAGGACTAGAGACGATCTCGTGGGGGACTCGAGAGAGATCTTTTTCAGGAGAAGCCCAACCGCGAGCCCCAATGAAGCCCCGCGCGGAGGGCGAGAGGACTTGATCTTCCGCGCTCCGCCGCCGCCGCCGTCTGCTTTCGCCCGCCGTCGGGGAGCCGCTTCTCCGCCTCTCCCCTTGGCCGGGATGGGGCTGCCCCTGGGGCTTCGCCTGGTGGGGCTGCTGGGCTGCTTGGGCAGCGTGTGCCGCGGCTACTTCGACGGGCCGCTGTACCCGGAGATGTCCAACGGGACGCTGCACCACTACTTCGTGCCCGACGGCGACTACGAGGAGAACGACGACCCGGAGAAGTGCCAGCTGCTCTTCAGGGTGAGCGAGCGGCGGCGCTGCTGGGCGGCCGAGGAGGAGCAGCGGGCGGCGGCGGCGGCCCCCGGCCTGACCCTGCGCGAGGAGCTCACCGTCCTGGGCCGGCAGGTGGAGGACGCGGCGCGGGTGCTCGAGGGCATCCGCAAGAGCATCTCGTACGACCTGGACGGCGAGGAGAGCTACGGCAAGTACCTGCGCCGCGAGGCCACGCAGATCGGCGACGCCTACGCCAACTCGGACAAGTCCCTGGGCGAGCTGGAAAACAAGTTCCGGCAGGGCCAGGAGCACGAGAGCCGCGAGGGGAGCCGCCTCAGCGAGGACTTCGCCGGCATGCTCGTGCACGCGCGCGCCCTCCTCAAGGACACGCTGGCCGTCTCGGCGGGCCTCCGGGACAAGTACGAGCTGCTGGCGCTCACCGTGCGCAGCCACGGCACGCGCCTCAGCCGCCTCAAGACCGAGTACCTCAAAGGCTGAGGAGGACGAGGAGGACGCCGACGACGCCTCCACTTGGGACCTTTCGCCGCCCCACAACAGCTCGCCAAGGCGCGGAAACCCTCCGCGCGCCTAATTTGCGCGCCTTCCCTCCTGCTATTCGAAACGGCGGCTGTGATTTGTCAGTCATATAATCCTTCCCGCGTAGCACTTTGAAAGTGCAAAGGAACCCTGGAGGCGGTGGTTCTCCTCAGGGGACAGGTTGTTGTGGGGCTATATTAAAGGACAGCAAGCTGGCAATTAATTGGGCTGTCTTATTTTATTTGCCACCACGGAGGGTGCCATTTCTGCCTTAGGCACCCAAATGGCTTGGAACACTTGTTTTGTTTTGCTTTTTTAATAATAATAATAATGCTTACAGGCTCCTGTGCCGTTCCCAACTTTCTGACGTGCAGAAACTCAACAGGTGACTGTTACATCTCTGTGTTAAAAGAACTGCACCTGTTGGGTTTCTGCCTGTCACGCAGCTGTTGAATGCACATGGATCCTGTGGGTGGGGGAGAGGTGGCTTACAAGCTGGTTGTGTTGTGTTCATCCTCTGCTTTGAGGGTTATGTGTAAAAGGGAGGTGCAAGTAATTAACAGGGCAGTCTATACCTGCCTGCTTGGAAATAAGATCTGTTGAGTCCAGCCAGCCATGCTCCCATGAAGGCATATATCGAACTGCAGCCTTGCTGGCTAAAAAAACCCCATTGGTGGATTTCTTATGCATGCATTTTCCAGATGTGGATATGGAGGCTGGAGTGTGACTTGTCAGCAGCTTTTGAAGCCTGCACTACTGCACAACCAAGAGTAGCTCAGTTGTGGATAACTGGGTTGCACAGCTATCCCACGAGTCTTACTAGTATTTATACTATTAGATAGTCCTGGACATACGGGAAAACTTTGCAATCAGTCCCAATTCAGCAGAGTTAGGCACTCTGAAACCAGTTGTGGTCAGTAACCCAGGGATATAAGTCACTGAGGCCAAAAGATAATGACTTGCTAATAGCTTTTGGACCTTCCTCTCAGCTTCCTCCCAACTGCAGCCAGTTGTTCATGGGTTGTGTTTTCACAACAAACCTGTGAGGTAGACCACTGTTTGCCCCTTTTATATTGGAAGAGATGAAGCTGAGTGACCTGTCCAAGACTATTGCAAGGGTCACCCCAGGTCATAAGTCTTAATTGTCTGTCAACTTATAGTTGTTAAATCATGTTGCAATCCTCATATTCTCTGGCCGACTGGGGAATTTGTTGCTCCTTACCCCCTTTTGTAAGCCTATCAGACTTAATTAAGGATAGCTAAAGAGAAGTTTCATTCCACTCTTTCACAGCTGATAGCTGACATGGAGGTTTTTTAAAATCTTGATTAGTGATTCTGAGTATGAAATCAAGGAGTTATTTTAGGTTCCATAATCGGGAGCAGAAGGGTGTGATCTTTTGTAAACATTTCCAGAGAGGTAGCTGCAAACTTTTGTATGAGGCCTCAAGAGAAGTAAGAGAATAACTTTCCCATCCTTTCAGTGTGTGTTGGGGAAAACAGGAATTCAAATACTCATTAGAGGTTGTATGGAGCCAGAATGCGGAAACTATTTATTTGGCAAAGTACAAGGGTGTGGTGTTCATCCATATCACACAAGACTGCAAGAATATAGCCTTCTCTCTCTCTCTTAAAAAAAATTATGGGGTTATCTTCACCGATTGAGGGGGAAATTCCCACCTTGTTATCATATTTAACACTTATCCCAGTCATAGAGTATGGAGAATACCTACAGTAACAGCTTCATCATCTCATCTCTCCCATGCCACCATCATCTCCCCTGTGCTACCTTTACTCAGTGCAGAATACACAACTGTGCTTAGTGTACTTCTGATTACATTCCTCTAAACTTGCAAAATTAGGTGAGCTGGAGCTGTGAACATTCTGATATCAAGGGTTTTGTTCTATCAAATGTGGATTTGTGTCTTAGGCACTTTTAAATACAAGTGACAGTCTTTAAGATGCAAAACCCTAGGGCCTGCCTGAAAAACTCTGCCAAACTTGAAGCAGTGACTCCCATCCTTTTCCTCCTCTTTCCTTTTGTGCAAGAATTGTTTTAAATTCTGTAAAAGGATTTAGCGTAGTTGGAAGCTACTGTTGAGTCTAGCTTGGCTCCCTCCAGGATGTAAATTTCCTGCCCACTGGGAGACAGCCCAGCTGGAATGCCAGCAACAGTGAGAGATTGGAATCTGAGCCATCCTTCCCTTCATCGAGAGTTCGAACTTGCCAGATCTAAATATAAAAAGTAATTGCTATGGTGTCCGCAGAGTGGTTTTCTAGTGGAGCTGTAACATTTCAAAAAAAAAATTCTTCTCTTATGTGGAATGGCAGTGCTCCATACTAAGGGGCAGTCCTTAAAACCAAAATAGGGCTTTCTGGCAATATTACTCCAAGCTCAGAACAGGTAATTCTGTACCCTTTGGGGGAAAAACAGGGGAACGCTTCCAAGTAACCTTTAAGAATAAAATGGAACAGAGGTAGTCAGATTTCCACTCTAAAAGAAGGTGACAAATCCTGTTGACTCTTCTTTTGCACTAGGAATTTCAGGTACTGTACAGGTAAACAATAAGAATCTAATTCCTCAGGCTTTCAGTGGATGAGAGTAAGGCTCCTGGAGCCAGCAGGGCAGAAGAAGACTTTCTTTCTATTTCAATGTGTAGCCACCTGGGATATATGAATTCCCAACAGTAATTTGACTCCAAGTAGCAATCGCCTTTTCCATTGCTGCAAATCCTTTCCCCTTGCTGCTACGTCATCACTATCACCACACTTCTTTCCTCTAGCTGTTCTGTTTCCTAATTGCTCGCACTGTAGGGATTTCACTTGCCATGTTAAACAATAAGAGGTGCTCTGCAATTGCAGTGCTGTGACACAGTTCTGCAGAGCTGAGGTATTTGGAAATAACTGGATGTATTGTGTACAAGGGGGCTGTTTTGTCTGGAATAAAAGGCATTCCTAAGACATCTGTTCAGATACTACCCTCCATCTTCTGTACTTTCATAGTACTGAATATAACACATGCTTGATGGCAATTATTGCTGAATTTGCAGACACTCTTACCCTTCCAAAATTATTCCAGTCTTCCAGCTATTTCATTACCTGTATCTCTCTACAAGAAAACTTAGGCTGTGGGTTCTGTGCATACTTACTTGGAAGTAAGCCCCATTGGACTCAGTGGGACTTGCTTCTGAATAAACATGCATAGGCTTGATGCTGTAAAGTCCACAGGATTCTTTACCAAACACATCTCAGTGCTCTCAGTGCATGGTTCATTCCTTCACCTATTCCTTTTCCTAGTACCTTGCATAATACTAGCCCTTACCTGATTCTGCTCTTTTAACATCACTGCATTAAATATCAAGTATTGGAAGTACCTTTTCAAGTTAGCCATTAATTCTATATATATTTATTTACATGTCAGCTTAGAAGTAAAGGGCTTTTCCCTAGGAGAGTTGAGTTTAGGATTGCACTGCTACCCACTTAACCTGGAAGTTAAGTCCCGTTGAACTCAATGGGGCTGGCTTCTGAACAGAAAAATATAGGATTGCACTGTAAGATAACCCTTATATCAGAAGCTAGCTGTCTTTCCTTCTGTCATTGTCAAGTCAGCTAATTAACCTGGGCAGTGCTCAGTCATCTAGTTCTGAAACATGTTGTGGTTTCACTAGTGACTCTTGAAGGATTGCTTGTGAATTTGCAGGCATGAGTGGTCCAGCAATGGCTTGCCCCATACCATGTTCATTATGTGTAAACCAGCACCACTGGTCACATTGTGCTCCCGCTTGATTGAACGACAATCTATAAGGGCCAACCCCAGGCATTTGACTATTCTTACCTATGCTTGCATTAGTGAGAAACTGGCTATGAGTCCTCAACAATGTGACAAAGCAGTAAGAAATCACATAGTGAGAAAAATATTATAATACTGGGTTATCCAGAAGCAGGCCTACTTTAGCTTCATTTCCACTGATACCCTAGAGAGGTATGAGACACCCTCTAATAAGAGTTTGTTTTTTAGGGTGGTATTTATTAAATTTACTATTTCTTGAAAGTATACATTGTAAATGGTATGCAACAAATATACGTGAAATCTTGACATATTAAGTTAAGCATTCTAATATTTAACAACTATTTTGTATTCCATTGTGTATCTTTAATAATGTATTCTTATTTGGACTTTCTATTGTTGTTTTCAACCAGAAACTGCCCCCCTAAAAAAAACACACCCCTAAATACAAATTCAACAGCCAAATGTGGATAAAACAAGGAGTCTTAAATCCACACTGAGGTGTGTATGTGGTCACACATTTTGCCCTGGTTTACCTTTTGTTTTCTCATTCACTCAGATATGGGCATGGCCCACAGCTCACTTCAACCAGCGTGTGAAATTGGCAGGGGTTGCAGTCCTGTGCACACTTACGCAAGACATAAGATCCATGGTATGTGTGCTTATAATTTATACATCTTGTCATATCGTGAAGTAGGCTGCAGTTAAATTGGACTGCGTTCTTCCATATAGTTGGTCTGTTGGGCTTAATCAGCTTAACCGTGCAAATTTGCAACTTTAGTTGTATTCCTGGAACGCAAACAGCATTTTGCTGAGATTATTCCAGAACAAACAGTTTGTAGCTCAAACTAAAAGCTGTGATTTTTCTTTCTTTTGTAATTAAAAAAACAGGACATTTTGTATGGTCACCTGCAAACCAGTAATGAGGAAACACCCATGGGGGCCAAATGTGGCCCTCAAGGACTTTCTATCTATGGAACTCTCCCCAGACCCCAATCCTTTCTGAACCCCAGTGTTTTCACTTGGCTGGGGGGGTTGCCCTTGAGCTCCAATAATGCCTCTTGCTTGTCTGGAAGGAGAAGGGCATGTGTAGGCACCACCCACTTTCATCTTGCCACCACCCACGACTGGTACATGGCCCTTGGAAGGCAGTGCCCAGAAGGCAGTGTGTCCCCCGGGCTGAAAAAAATTCCCCACCCTACTGTAAACCATCAGTACCCACAAATGACATGTGAAACGCATGCAGAAGCTGGAGCCAGCAATTATCTATGTGTGTGACCACCAAAATAAGGATTATTTCTCCCATTGTTCTGTTCACAGTGTAAGGACACATTTCTTTTTATTCCATAATCTTATTTCTTCTTTTATAACAACATCAGCTCCTAAATATATTTCTCCTCCTCCTTTTAAATGTATTTCCTTGTGAGACTGTCATGTAAGCATGCTTAGTATTGCAGCCTAAACCTGGTTAAGTTTTTTTGTTCTAATACACCAGTAACTTTCATGTCGCCATACTTTTGCTAGCTTTTTTCTCTCAAAAGAATCATTTGTGCCCCTAGACAATAGCAAAAGAGCATGGTGGGGAATTGGTTTTGATTTGATTTTAATTTCAATTGTTCTATTTAATTCAGAATCGAAGTTAATATGAGCTACATTTAAGAAGGAATACTGTCTTTGTATGGTTCTAATAAATATTTAAAGAAACATGTTGAAGTCCTGTTTTGGAGGGCATTTTAATCATGTCATTCTAGAAGTTTCCTTTGCCTCTTTGACAGCACTGCAAAAATCTGAGCAGCAACCTATCAAGGGGTTTCTTTCATTTAACATAAAATTTAATTGAATTTGAATGTAAAAGTTTCCAAGCCAATAAAGTTTTTTTTATTTATAAAGTAGTGCTTTAAAAATACAGGCCACTTCCAGACTCAGTATTTTGGTGCTGGGATTCAATTACATACTAGCAAATTCAGATTGCAAAATTAAAGTGGATTTGGTGCTCTAGTGCAACAAACCCACTGCTCCCAACCCATCATTTGTGGTAATGAAAATGATGGTAAAATGAATTGGAAAGTGATGAATAACACTAGCTCCCGTTGCTCTAACCCAGCTTCTGCCAACCTACCAGTTCGAAAGCATACCAACACAAGTAAATAAATAGGTACCACTGCCATGGGAAGGTAAACGGCATTTCCATGCACTCTGGTACTCATCACCGTGTCCAGTTGCACCAGAAGTGGCTTAGTCATGCTGGTCACATGACCTGGAAAGTTGTCTGCAGACGAACGCCGGCTGCCTCGGCCTGAAGTGAGATGAGCGCCGCACCCCATAGTCGCTTTTGACTGGACTTAACTGTCCAGAGGTCCTTTACCTTTTTTTGCTATGATATAACCTCTCAAACTTAGATTTGTCATGACTACTGTTTTCTTTGTTTCAGTGGGACATGATGGTATTGCCAAACAGCACTGTTCCACCTACATTTGTGTTCACTGATGAGCACCTTGTCTCAAAAGTCAACATTTTGTTTTGGAAGATGAGTTACCAAGGATCCAGCAGACCAGGACAAAGTGCACTTGAAAGTTTTCTGCTGACACTTATAATTAGAGTACAGCATTCCATTTACACTTTGCCTCCTTTGGCTTATCCTTCTGCAATAATAGTATACTGTAATAAAATTGATTGATTACAAACATTTACAGTTCTGTTACAATGAATTTTACCATTCCTTTGGTTATAAAAGTATCAGACTTCTTTTTTTAAAGTTCAGAGCTCAGAGCATGAACTTTTTTCTTTCAGCTTCCTGAAAAACAGTGGTAAAACATGAGTGTCAATTTACTTAAGTGTCAGGAGTCTGGCCAAAATGTAACTTGTAAATTCTATTTAAAGAAAATAATGTTGAACTCTTGGCTTGAATCCATCCAATGGTTTCTTAAAAAAACCAAAGTTTATTCAAATCCTACAGAACCCCCTGATATGATTCAGCCAAAGTCAAGCCCACTTAAAACCTATGTATGTTTTGGAGAAATTTAAGTGCATGTTTAACCCTTCCATTCCAATAGTGACCACCATTTTTGGTTTAACTATGCTGGAAGCTGGGCTAGCTTTGATACAGCAAGAAGATGGTCCTCTATGTGGATCCTCTCTAGCAAATTGCTGCTTGATAGGAGTTAAGCCCAATATTCTGCAGCCTACTTAACCCTTTCCTCCTATGCCAAAGGCACATATTCAGCATCTCCCATATAAAATGGCACTCTGAGATGCTTCCAAGCTAATCTGATCATAGTGCCATTCCATTGTTAGATCATATTGATATTAGGATCATGGTCTATAATCTTTTCAAGTTTACACAGAATAGAAAAGGGAGATGTAGAGACACCATACTTGGCAGTTGCTACCATTAAAATGACACAGTAAGGTGCATTATAGGTTAGAGAATTTCACACTCTCAAATACCTTCTTGGAAATGCCAATGACTTCAATGGGAAGCAGTTAGGAAAGAGCTTGATATAACTATGATGGCAGATTGCGAAGTAACATTCCGAAGAAAATGTCATATTGGTAATTTTCCTGTCTTTGTCATTCAGACCACTTCCAAACTTTTGTGGGAGGTTGTCAATCAAATATGGACAAATTTAGGCTTCCTCAATGAAACTGGATTAAAGTGCTCATGTACTTTTGTGCAAGGAACACACTTTAAAAACATGGGAAATTTTGCAGTAAGGAAATTGATGGGAACATGCACTTGAAAGCTTAAGATAGTCAATCGCCAAGAAGTTGTATAACCTCTGTACAAACAAATCAGAATGCATGCTCAGTAAACAGACATCATTTATCCTCCATGCAAGCTTTGTGCAAACAAATCAGAATGAATGTTCAACAGAAATGTCATACTGTAAAAGAACAGGTGCATGAAATGAAAAATAAATTAGCTCTTTGCCCTCTTAAATCAGCAGCATGAAAAAGTCACAAGCATCAACATTTGATAAAACTCAAAGTGGATTTGTTTCTCAACAAAGGTTGTGAACTCACCAGAAAAAAAGGCCCTAGCAACTTGATCTACAGAAAGTAAAGCAGTGAGACCTTCTCAGCTGCCAATGTCTGCAGATCAAGCTACAATGGATGGTTGAAAGTTGCCAACCTTTAATTCCCAATGCCTTTCCTCAAGAACATTTCTGTCTAATGCCTCCTCCGTCTTATGTTACATACACAACAAGGAAGTGGGCAAAAATCCCAAGTTCATGTTTTAGAAGTTTTTAAAACAACTGATGTCCATTTAAAACCATGTCAGTGCCAACATAAGACCTAGGCACTTGCTCTGGGGTAATCTCATTCTTTCCAGTGGAACGTACTCTGGAACAAATGCCATGAGCACTGCAGCTGTGTTTATTTTCACTGTTCAGGAGTGAACAGGCACTTTCCAGCCTTTCAAAGGAACAAAGCACTTTGAACATTCTAAACAAAGAGTTGGGGATCTTTACAGTGCTTGACTTCATGCTATCAAGCAGAATCGTACAGGACATATGTCTCTAAAGGACAAATTGGTTGGACGTTTTTAAATTTCACATATGAAAATGTCCATTGGCAAACAGAACAAAGTTGCCTTTTAATATTTGGGCATCAAGGATGGCAGCACCTTTAATATTGGTGCTATTTAAAAAAAAAAAACACATTTAAAAGCAGATGGGTTCAAATGCTAGTCGAGAAAAGGGGGGTGGAGAAACATCACCTTTAACATCTTTTGACAATAAGTGTCACGTCCTGTTTAAATATTGTGATATAGTGAAAGCTAGTTTTTATCATTTCATTTTATTTCTGAGTCCTCATCAGTCTGCTTGATTTAAATGTGAGCCCCAATCCATCTACCACTTTTTACATTTTGCTATGCTCAAGGTGGCAGCCAAGGCAGGCTTAGGGACTTCCCCTTGCCATCAGTTGGGACATGATGAATGCTTTGTTTGTTGGGAAATCTAGGTGCTTCATTTTTCTCCCTGCTGACTAACCTGTGTAATGGGATGACCAAGTCAGCCACAGCTCTACGGTTGGTAGGTTGGGGGGCGGGGGCTGAGTGTCCTCAGAGCCTTAGCAATCATATCTATCAAGGCACAGGATTTCACTTTTAAGTCAGGACAGGGGTGGTGACCTTATGGAAGTTGCAAATGATTCAGTGCTCCCCATTTTCTTGTTGTTGTTTAGTCATTTAGTCGTGTCCGACTCTTTGTGACCCCATGGACCAGAGCACGTCAGGCACTCCTGTCTTCCACTGCCTCCCGCAGTTTGGTCAAACTCATGCTGGTACCTTCGAGAACACTATCCAACCATCTCGTCCTCTGTCGTCCCCTTCTCCTTGTGCCCTCCGTCTTTCCCAGGGTCTTTTCCAGGGCGTCTTCTCTTCTCATGAGGTGGCCAAAGTATTGGAGTCTCAGCTTCAGGATCTGTCCTTCTAGTGAGCACTCAGGGCTGATTTCCTTAAGAATGGATAGGTTTGATCTTCTTGCAGTCCATGGGACTCTCAAAAGTCTCCTCCAGCACCATAATTCAAAAGCATCAATTCTTTGGCAATCAGTCTTCTTTATGGTCCAGCTCTTACTTCCGTGCTCCCCATTATTGTCACATAAATCCATATATCACACAAAACACATTGGGTTCTTCAAGTTTTCCTCCACATAAGGGTGCATTTCCATATTACTCTATCTGCATATTTAAAAGCAAAACATGCATTGGATTGTCACTGAAGTCATTCTGGGGTCTGAAAAGACTCTTTTCCAGAAAACAGTTCAACTTCAACTTTTTTGTGGCTAAGCCATTTTCATATTAAAAGAAAGGCTTATGAACAGAATGCTCAAAAGCAAGCAGGAATGTTTTATCAGGTGCTGCAAGAAATCATATTGAAGGCTGACTCAACCATACAGGCAATGTCCTAATGAATTAATGACCCATCAAAATTGTTACTAGCATCAGATTAGTTATTTAACATGCAACGAAATCTTGTTGTCATTTTAAAAAATGCTTGGATGTCTAGAAAGGACTCCTATTCCTGGAAAGGTTGTCTGGAAAGGAATAGGTGGCTACTTAGAAAGCTAAACTGCAAATATATGTGTGTGTATCTATACGTGGGTGGCGCTGTGGGTAAAACCTCAGCACCTAGGGCTTGCCGATCGCATGGTCGGCGGTTCGAATCCCCGCGGCGGGGTGAGCGCCCGTCTTTCGGTCCCAGCTCCTGCGCACCTAGCAGTTCGAAAGCACTCTTAAGTGCAAGTAGATAAATAGGTACCGCTTTATAGCGGGAAGGTAAACGGCGTTTCCGTGTGCTGCGCTGGTGCCGGCTCGCCAGAGCAGCTTCGTCACGCTGGCCACATGACCCGGAAGTGTCTCCGGACAGCGCTGGCCCCCGGCCTCTTAAGTGAGATGGGCGCACAACCCTAGAGTCGGACACGACTGGCCTGTATGGGCAGGGGTACCTTTACCTATCTATACATATACATATGTGTGTGTATCTATCTATTTATCTAGCTAGCTAGCTAGCTACCCTCCCACCCCACATAGTTATAGTAAAATATGTTGTAAGCCACTGGTCTTCAACTGGTAGATCAGTGGCATAGCTGTCAACTTTCCCCCATTTTTAAGGGAAATTACCTTTTTCCGAACAGGATTCCTTCCAAGAAAAGGGAAAAGTTGACAGCTATGATCAGTGGGCTATGGCCCAATCCAAGTTGGGTCACAACAGGAGCACTACTACCATGCAAGTATATGATACAAGATTAAGAAATGGATCCCAAAATGCATGCCTGGGTTAAAAGTGCGTCATGGGTCTGAAAAAATTGTAGATACTTGTTCTAAACCATGTGCTACAGATTATGTATCTTTTACTGGGCAGTAAAAAGAGGACCAAAATTCTGAATCTTATTAACTCTGTAAAGTATTTTCATGCTGGGTTTTATGTGAGAACCTTATCTTTATTTTAACATCCCCTAAATGTCACTCCTGGTGGGGGGTTTTTTTAGAACTCTTCCCATGACATCTAATTTTGAACTTTCTTTTAAAACAAACATACTAAATACATACAAACATACATACATACATATTTTCATGCAGCTCTGAAGGATTATTAGTCTGTACAAATAGAAGCTATGATCTTGAACAATGAAGCAAGAGTGCTGTTCTTAAAGTTTGACAGAAAGGTCTGGTGTTTTTCAAAAGGGAAAAATGTGCCTGGGCCTGAAGACAGTTAAAGAAAACTATTTCTTCAGTCTCTTTCCCTACTTTGATCTTTATTCAACCAAAGAAGAAAACTGGGGCTGAATTTATTTCTTGAAACATGGAGATACCTCGTTTCCAAAAACTGTGGACCAGACAGTGTTTTTCAAGACTGCTTCATATATGGAAACCATTAATTCTGGGCAAGTTAAGCACCGTTGTTCCATTGATTTCAGGTAGAGAGAAATCAGTGGAGCTGATTGATATGTGCTTCACTTTGCTAGATTGTGGATACTGCAAACCTTCCCTGCAAATCTTGTCTTATTCATCTGATTCTCATGCCATGGAAGTGCCTGAAGAACTCATCTTTTATTCTATTCCATGTTACTGTGACAACACATGAATGTAGAAACTGCTTGGAAAGGGGAAGATCACAGAGCAAGAACCACACCAGCATCCTAGCATTGCTGAGGGGAATGCCTTTGGCATGATTCCTCC